TTGGTGAATTAGTCATGTTTTAATTGATGTCATGTAGGAAATCAGATTCTACTCAACAGTATCAGCATCTCATATACACCAACATAATTTTGATACATGGGGAAGACACGTGAGTCGACACCAACTTGCATTCATTAAACCCTCTGGCAGTGTTTGACTTTTTGTTAAAATGGGTTGAGCCTTGCCACTTTTGCCATGCAATTCATCAACATTGCAGAAAGCTGTGTGTGCAAGCTGCCGCACCATCTGTGTTTGCTGACCTTGTGACTTTTTAGTAGCGCGCAAAACGTTGGGTGTGATCAGGGTCAGACTGGTGTATCTGCCGCAAGGCTGCTAATGAGGAGGCAACTCCTTCCGTATTGCTTCAGCAAAGTAATATATCTATATTTTTTAAGGTGCTCCGTGTAGCCAATAATTGAGTGTACGGCTGCAACTAAATATTATTTTAACAATCGATAAATCGGATGATTGTATTTTCAATCAATTTTGCGGCATGAAAAAAATACAGGACTGATATGTTAGATTTTTTTTTCTTTCTCTTACAGTTTATAATTGCTTTTATACATATTTTAACATAACATGGATTTGTATCTCTATAATTACTTTAAGTGAATTAAGTAATGCTGACATCCCGACAGCACTAGGTAGCTCCTTCAGCCAGAGACTGTTACACCCGCGCTGCAAGAAGGAGAGATACCGCCGCTCGTTCCTACCGACTGCTGTCAGGCTGCTGAATAAAAAATAAAATAATGTGGAAGACAATTGTAAATAGCACTGCGACCCTATCCATATTTGTATTTATATTGCACTTAATTGAACGGTGTTTGTTTTTCTTTTCTTCTTTCTTCTTTCTACCCATTATCTTGCTGCTGTGGACTGTAAATTTCCCCAGTGTGGGACAAATAAAGGATATCTTAAATCTTAAATGCAAAACATGTTGTTGTAGAGAGCTCAAATTTGTCCCTTCTGGAATTTCATAGTGACCCACTCCACCCTCTCACTCCCATACTATGTAGACACACATTTGTTGTACAGCATTGTGTTGTTTCACGTTTCTTCAATAATAGTTATTATACCAGATTAAGTCTGAGCTGTAAGCATGGGGAAAGTTGCTGTTGCTGGTGAGGCTACTCAATTTGCCTCCTGGCTGGCATAGGGGAAGACTAAGTGTCTCGAGGTTGGTCCACCAGTCTGGCTTCCCTCTCTGGTGTGCAGTTGGTGACCCATACCTGCCCCCTGGCTGTGGGGTCTTCTCCTCCAAAGGGGTCGGCAGGTATGTGCCCAGATCCTGGGTGCCCCTTGACGACCCGTCATATGCGCCAACTCTTCTTGATCCACAACACACCTATGTTGACATTCCTCCCCTCAAGGTATCAGAGACGTATGGAATGCCACTGCTCACAGTGACTGTTCCTAGCCATTGGTCTTCAATGCGATGCGGCCTTGCGTCGGCAGTGGAATCACCAAGGGGGAGCGCTGATGTGCATCCTTCCCCACAGTGACCTGCTGACACGAGCAAATTCTCAATCTTAAATGTCATGCTTGCTTTTTGCTCTTTCATATGAAATGTTCCTTTAATTTGTTGCTTTGCTGTTCTGTGTCTTTATCTCTGAAGACATCACGGTTACATTCTCACGGGCTGGGAGTTAAAATTGTTTAACCGCTAAGTCAACAAAAATTGGTTGACGCAACAGTCAACACATTTAACAGCTTTGGTTGTGTATGGCGCCAATAATCAGGACACAGCTCTCCACATCAAGCAAGAATGGAGGGGGGGGGGATCCACCCACATAGCTTCTCCATTTAGTGTTCTCAGTTCCCAAATGTTTATTGAATGTTAGTAATAGAAAATGTTACACAATGGTCAACATGACCCTGTCACAGCTTTTTAGGAACGCGTTGCAGCCATAAAATTCAAAATTAATGATTTGCTGAAATCAATATCAATTTATCAGTTTGAACATCAAATATCTTCTCTTTGTAGTGTATTTAATTAAATATAGGATAAACATGATTTGCAAACCATTGTAATTCTGGTTAACACAACAGCCCACATTCATTGGAATTGGGTTTATAAATAAATTTGACTTGACTTGGCATGTCTGTTTTATAGTAAACTACAACTGGGAGTAGCGAATAAACATCTTGAAGCAGCCAAGAATGTTTTGCCTCTCATTTGGAGGAGTGGATCGCAATCTGTCGCTACAAGACGGCACACATCCACCCTGTTATGATCTCCTCTGTGTTTTGGAGCGCACTTCCTCCTCACGTAGAACTTCAACATTTATTTAACCTTGATTTATCCTGGTTAGGTAATTGAGAACAGATTATCTTCCTTTGCAATTCCGACCTGGCAGCAGAAAGCAGAGTAAATATAGTTTCAAGTGTTGTACCATCTCCGTGCTGCTCCCATTCTGTGCTTTGCAAAGATTGCAAGCAACACTTTGTCCAGCATTGATTGTGTATAGTGACATGCTCAGACACTTTACTATCGATGACTTTCTCCGTACAAGCAATGTTTGGGGGCAGAAAAACATAAACTGGCTCCTCTTCATCCACATGCAGGGTTCCCACGGGTCCTTTAAGTTCATAAAAATCCATAAAAAAAGAAGTTGTAAAATTATTATAATATATATATATTATAATAAATAAAATTGTCCTTAATTTGGAGGGAAAGCTTCTAAAATCAATAAATGAATTGAAGTTTAATATTTTCTGAATTTAAATTTTTCTTAGTGTACTTTATTTGAGAATGAATTCCAAGTTTTTTTTTCATTTTTCTACCTGTGGGAAAATGAAAATTTGACATCCAGTGTGTCAAATACAGTAAAGGGTTAACTGATTGCCGCTAAAAATAAAGATGTGCCCTTCTTTGGCAGCAATGATTTGAACACCAGCTCAGTGATATGTGGCTTTCTGTTCAGTCCGCATATTGCTGAGCGGGCATTAAATCCACCGTGAATCCCCTGCTGAATGGAGAAAAGTCCTTAAAAATGGCTAAATTAGCCCTCAAAAGTCCTTAGAAGGTCCATAAATAAAAAGCAAGTGGAAGAGTGGGAACCCTGACATGGCGCAACTTCTGCCACACTCCGCTCCTTCTCTATGCCATTTTATGGCAGCAGGTGACTAGCGTAATAAAGACTTGACACATTATCAATTTGCAGCCCTTATTGAGCAAGTCATACAGCACAAAGGAACACCAATACTGTACTTAGATGCCCATCCATTGTTTTGTTCATCAGACTGTTAATAAAGGGAGGAAAATTGTTTTAATTGACTGACATCATTCTGTGAAGAGAGTGCGGCTAGTGGAGTCGCAAGAAAATTGGAGCATCCAAACTATGTTTCAAGACTACTTGGGAATATTTTTTTTCCATACAGTTTTTGTATGCCCAAACAAGAGCACTGTACACTATACATACAGTATGAACTGGTTTAATCACCTTACATTTTTAAGAAAGGTTTGCATCTTGTATTAGATGAAATTACTTTTCAATAATTTTGGGGTTAAAATAAGCTCATTGTAATTAACAGAAAATACATCTCTGTGGGGTTCTGCCACTTGTATTACTCTACCGTTTTAAAAGGGTTCCTAATGCAACCACCTCCCCCAAGTAGGAAATACATTTTTGAACTTCCCCCTTATTTTCTAAACTAATTTACAAGCCTGTCTGTGTACATTGGAGTTGTTTGCAGCTACTTTGGCCTCAGGTTAGTTTGCTCGACAGGATGACTCACAATTTCGGTGATTGGATTATCTGCCTCTTGCTCAAGGAAAAGGTGACTGATTATGACAGCTTTGAAACTTTTTGAAAGAAAACCCATGTGCCGCCATAAAAAAATATACACACATGGGAACAAATCAAACTTCTGGGACCTCTTACTTATAATCAAGTTTTTATTTGCTTGTATTCAAATAATTGAGTCTCTGGAACACCTGGCCAACCATTAAGTGTGAAATTTCACAACCAAATAGTTATTTGTGATCTGTCTCTTTCCGATAATGGGTCTGTAAGCAAGCTGTTCAGAATTTTTCCTGACTATGACATCCGAAGTCAGATAATTTCTAAAATGCAGCCAACACATGGGGTTTCTCCACCAGGGGTGCGGTATACGGGGTAAATCTAAGCCATTATTGACCTGGCAGCTGAACTGGGCGAAGATCCATTTTCTTTCGATGGAGGTGATGGCTGTGCCAGACAGAAACTATCCAAGCTGCTGTTAAATAAACAGTAGCTCTCTAAATTACCTCGCGCCACCTTACCTCTCTGAGCTCATCCGCCCCACACACCTGCCCGGCGCCTCAGGTCTGCGGACTAGACATTATTAGAAGTACCAAGAACTAAACTGAGGCTCAGAGGGGATCGAGCCTTTTCTGTTGCTGGTCCCACTCTCTGAGGTGACCTCCCACTGGGCATTCGGCAAGCCTCCTCGCTGCCCATCTTTAAAACCTGCCTCAAAACTCACTTGTATTCTTTGGCATTTGCCTCAGCATGACTTAGATTTGTTCTTGGTTTTGCTGTTCGGTACTTTCTACCGTATTTGTTACGGATTTGCTTTACTGTTTGTTGTATATGTTAATTGATCCATGTACAGCACTTTGTATGCAGCGATGGCTGTTTGAAAGTGCTCTATAAATACAGTTGAGTTGAGTTGAGCTAACACAGATAGCATCTGATAAATGTAACATACAGTATTGTTAGTTTATGGTGACAAGGGGAAGAGAGCACTGTGTTTGTTGCACCACACAATTTGGTGGTTTGGTGATAAAATGCCACTTCCATCTATCATAGCTATCATTTCTTGGAATAACTGCATAGAATGTCTCGAGTAAAAATACAACAAGTGCTTTTACTGGTCTCTATATGGATGGAAACTTGGGAGCTGCTATCATTTCTTGGAATAACTGCATAGAATGTCTCATTTAGTTAGTGAAGTAATGGCCACACACTTGCTTTGGCTTTGAAATGCTGACACTTGTTCTGCTTTTGCGCATTCAGACATGTAATCAGGACGACGATGAAGTGGAGATTGCTATGGACAACGCAGCCTTTATGGATGAGTTCTTCTCCCAGGTGAGCTTTTGAAAATTTTAAGATCACTGGGTTTCAGACATTCGCATACAGCTAACTTGCCTTGTGTGTTTCAGATTGAGGACATCAGGAACAGCATCGATAAAATTGACGACAATGTGGCTGAGGTCAAAAAGCTTTTCTCGGTCATTCTGTCTGCTCCCACGTCAGATCAAAGTGAGACTTCTCAGTACCGCAATTTCATGTTAAGACCATTTTTTGTTTGCCTAGCTTTCCTCCTTAAGCATGGTTAAATGTTATATTTTTTTAGATGTTTTTGTCACTACAGTATACACACACACACACATACACACACAATGTTAATGATGTTAACATCGTTGAAATGTGTCTTGTATATATGTGTAGTTATGTCCAACTCATTTAGCTAAATAAAAAATAGTCTCCGTACTGTATACAATAATGCAGTGTACTTCAAATGCACTAAACTGAGCTATTAAACTAATTTTAATAGCTCAGTTACAAAGGAGAGTTTTTCTCTTCAGGAAGTCTGAATTTTTGAGACAGGTTTTGTATTGGATTGTATTAGACCGTGCGGGGATAACTAATGTTATGTCTGGTGAGTGCTGTACACTACCTTGAGAGTGCCACAGGTTTTTCATACCCACACGGAAACACACATTTGTTAATTCAATATTACCATGATCATAAATGTAGGGTGGCTTGAAAATGGGTTGTTTTAAAGGTAAAGAAATTTGAATTTATTTGTGAGAAACATGTCTGTTCCTTTCAGAAACACAGGATGACTTGGAAGCAATCACCAATGACATCAAGAAAATGGCAAACAACGCCAGAAATAAACTCAAGAGTGAGCCTCGACCCTTCAATACACACACACACACACACACACACACACACACACACACACACACACACACACACACACGTTCATTGGCATTAGTGACTTAGTTTGAGGTTTTGTGCGTACTCTTTATATAGTCATAACTGGATTTAATTCATTTTTTTAGTTTGTTTTTAATTAATTGGAATTTTTAATTAATGCCACATTTGAATGCTTTTAAGTACAACTTGTTTGAGTAATCTGAATTTCTCTGCAGCCATCGAGAGGAATTTGGAGTCAGAAGAACAGGAGAGGGTGTCAGCTGACATGCGGATACGTAAATCACAGGTTAAAAACATGATTTGACATTGGATTATGAATCGCGACCCCCTTGCCCTCCCAATCATTTTATGTTACTGTTTCCCAGCATGCAGTGTTGTCTAGGAAGTTCGTGGAGGTCATGACAAAGTATAATGAAGCTCAGGTGGATTTCAGGGAGAGGAGTAAAGGACGTATTCAGCGACAGCTAGAGATCAGTGAGTGATGCCTCTCAACAAAGAATTCAGGCAGAAGTGTGACAGGCATATGGTTTCGTCTCCCAACAATTCATTTGCTGTGTTTTCCAGCCGGAAAGGCGACAACAGATGAAGAACTTGAGGAGATGTTGGAGAGCGGCAATGCTGCTGTGTTTACTGCAGGGGTGAGTGTGGTACCGTTTTGTTGCACTTTTCCTTCCTCATTAACAGACTTGAATCCAAGCTGCCTGTGTCTCATTAAAACACAAAACAACTGGTTAATGTTTAGCTTTGGATTTAGTCTACGGAGCTCAAAAGTCACTTGCCATTGTTCAGCCTCAAATCTAGCCTGGAAAAAAAAGCCTTCGAGAAATGTCACTGTTAGTTTTACTGCACAAATGGCAACGGTGAGCATTATCATTGCCCTCCACTGATGATGTATTGATCTCAATATAGGAAGAAAACATTTTTAATCGTTGTCACAGCTGACTGCTGCTTTGAAATACGTTTCCTGTGTTGTCGAACACCATTGGAGGCTGACACAGAGAAGGGATCAGAATAAATCAAGCATGTCCAAGCTCAGGTTACCCAACGGCCGCTGTCTTCCATGACTTATAACAAATCCTGATCATTTGAATCAGGTGTGTAGGAGTAGGGAGACATAAAACACGCAGGACAGCATCCCTCGAAGACTGGGTTTGGACAACTCTGCAATAAATGAATGCATTTGGACAAATGTGTGGCTTTTCCTCCTTTTCTTGAGTTTTCTCTTCAATGCAATTCTCTCGATGTACAGACGCTCCCCAGCTAACGAACGAGTTACGTTCCGAAGGATCGTTTGTTAGCTGAATTCGTTCGTAAGTTGCTTCAGTGCTATATTTTGTATGGAATGTATGTTTAAGACTTATATAAGTATGTTTAAGGTTTATATAAGTATAATAAAATGAAGTTTAACTTACTTTTGGAAGATGTACTCGAAGGCTTAAGGAGATGATGGACGATTGCACAGTTTTCTTCTTTTTCTCATCATAAATGATGCAGTAGCACTGTATGGCATCATTCATTTGATTTGCAACCTTTGTGCAACGTTCAATATTTGGGTCTTGCTGCTCGAAGAGTGCGATGGCTTTATCTATGAGCGAAAACCCCTCGGCCAAGAGTTCAGTCTCAAACTTCTTCATGGGGACAGGCGTTTCCTCCTCCTCCTCCTCCTCTCACAGCGCCTCACGTCGGTATTAGCGGCGGAAAGAAGTACTACAGTACTCGGAAAAAGGCGCGCAATACAAAATCTAACTTACAGCATCTCTGTCCGAGAACATTTTTCGACATACCTGTACCCGCAAAAATGTTCGTATGTACCGTTGTTCGTAACATGAATGTTCGTAAATCGGGGCGCGCCTGTACATGCTTAACAGTTGTGTGCGTGCGTTTTCTAAAAGACAAGGAGTAAAGAGAAAACAAGGGTCAGCAGGCAAGTGCACACAACATAAGATAAAAAGGTACACTTTACGAAGCAGATTTATCCAAATACTGTTAAGATAGTAATGTTTAAGCAGCCAGCACATCACTTCCCTTTGACACACTCATCCGATGCGCTACTTGTTGGACTGATGCTAACTTACTAATCACAACACGCGTTCACGAATGAAAATCATATCACACCACTCCAGTAAAATGGACTGGGACTAATCATGACAATAGGTTTGCATGCACGTGCACTTGAATGATACCACTACGAGTCATCGACGCGCACTACTGACACGATACTGTGCACCAGTTATGCTCAGACTTTACATTACCAACATTATTAAAATGCATGCTAAATTAAAGTGGAAGCCAAAAATGTTACGTGAAAGCAGACCCTGCTTTTCGACTGTCTTAAAAGTTAACTCAAATTTTATTTACGAAAATACATTCTATGTTCCCCCAGTAGTCAAAACACGGGGATTCCGATTAATATTGCGTTTGTGGAATATTAATTAAGCACTGAATTTCACCCATACTTCTGTATCTACCACTTTCTGTCAAATGAAAATGACATCACAGTTGCTGAAGGCTCAGGTACCGACCAATCACAACTCACGTGTTTTCTGAGTTTGGTCTTGTGACATTTGCAAGCTGTTATGTGACAGCGTTTATGACCTGAGACTTATTATTTTTCTTAGTTGGGGGGCTAAAAAGGGGAGTGTGTGTTAAAAATGTTTGCACCAACTCTGCAGATTGTGGACTCTGGCATTTCCAAACAAGCCTTGAGTGAGATTGAAGCCCGACACAAAGACATTGTTCGTCTGGAAAGTAGCATCAAGGAGCTGCACGACATGTTTGTGGACATTGCCATGCTGGTGGAGAACCAGGTACGCCCATTCCCCAATCCACTTGTCCATCATGTCTCCCAATCATAAACCGGTTAGTCACCTTCATCTTTACACTTTGGACTTCACACTTGGCATTCATTGACTTCTTTCCCTCTTATTTGTGTGCATCCTGACCGCATTCGGCTCCTTTCTGATCTTCATGTGCTGCCTGTGTTGATCTCTGACGGTCCGTCTTCCTTCTGTCTTTTCCAGCGGCATGAAAATTTCACTTTTCCCAATACTGTCTTATACCACCTCCAGCTCATCGTCACTCATCATTTATGGGTCAACATGAAAGCATTTTATAAGACTCAAAGCATCATAATTGCTCTCATAGTTAGCCTTTGCAGCCATGATTTTTTTGCATATAAATATTTGGTATAATAGCTTATATTTGCTTGCAACATGCTTTCTGAGTGGAAGTCTCGATTGAGGTAAGGGACACTTGTTTCTAATTGCACTGTTTCTTAACAAACTCTTTTCTGTCTCTCTAACTTCAACTTGGATACAAGTGCATTTAACAAAACACTAACAAATACTATTTGCATTTAACCCATCAAGTACAATACAGTGGTGCCTTGAGATGCGAGTGACCCGACTTCGGAGTTTTTCTAGTTATGAGCCATTGCTATGAGAATTTTATTTTTTTTGTTTCCACTTCCAAGCATAAATTTGCGATATGAGCGTTGTTATGGTGGCTCAATTCAATTCAGTGGCAGATGATGAACAACACCTCAAAAATGGGGGTTCAAGGAATTTTATTGCCATACCAACACACAATTACACGATGTGGCACAAAATTCAATACAAGAGGTCTCAATTAGACCAATAAGTCACGGGCACGCGGGGGTGGGGGGCAAAGGTGCGGCGGTCCTCAGCATCCAACTTTGGGAGCCATCGAAAGAAACCAGCCTCCCCGGCACCTGACCGTATTAGAAAAATACAACAAAGCTCATTGATTCAAGGTTTTAATGCTTTTTGCATTTTGTCTAATGGTCCTTATATATTGTTTGACTTGGTCTCAAAAATGCAAATGAGTGTTTTTCGACGATGTGGTTCAGAAATAATCTTAATAAACATCTTTCCATTATTTGTTAAACATGGGCAACAACAATTAGTTTCTACATGTATCATTTTTTGAGTGGTTGTTGTTACGAATGTCACATGACCAAACGCAGAAAACAGCTGAGCCCTGATTGGTTGTTAGCTGAGCCCTTCGGCACTGTGATGCCATTTTCAGTTGACAGCAAGTGGCAAAATGGCCGCCCCCTAGGGTAAGATAATTTGAAATATGAGTTTTAAATTAGGAGCATGGTCACTAACTGAATGTAACTCATATCTTAAGACACTGGTGTATTTGTTTTTCTCGTGAATGGTCCTTTATTCAATTGACCTACTTATATTTTTACAGGGTGACATAGTAGACAACATAGAGCAGAATGTTTCCAAGTCAGTGGACCACATCATGGTTGCTAAAGAGCAGACCAAAAAGGCTCTAAGGTACCAGACCAAAGCACGCAAGGTAATGTTATACGGCAACTGATAGTCACTTTGACCTCCTATTTTTTTTTTTCCTCACTTATTCTGACTGCCAACTCTTTGTGGCCCTACACACACACACGCACACACGCACACACCAAACCACACACACAGCAACTACAATCCGTTCATCTCAACATGCCCCCTCTTATGTTATGTATTTTGTTATGTATTAATTCAAAACTGCTCTGGACATCATGCACCACAAAAGGGGGGAATGATTGACAGGATTGAGAGCAACATGGACCAATCGGTGGGCTTCGTTGAGCGAGCAGTTGCAGACACTAAGAAAGCCGCAAAGTTTCAGCAAGAGGCCCGACGTGTGAGTTACTACCGTGGAAATCGGTGGTTCTGTTTCCCAAAAGCATGCAAATCATTTTATTTTGTCTCCTCAAACTGCAACAATGCAAAGCCTGAGCGTTTCAGCGCTGTTTTTCTGTAGTTGGCCGATAACGATGATAAAATGAAAGCGGCCATATGCTACAGCGCAACAATAAGGCAGGTAGCAAATGTGATCAAGCATTAGTATGGTATCCAGAACACTGTGTTATTTGAGTTGAGACTAATTGAAGACTAATTATCAAGAAGCATTCAGCTCAACTCATCCCAGTGAGATCCCTAGGGTAAGATAATTTGAAATATGAGTTTTAAATTAGGAGCATGGTCACTAACTGAATGTAACTCATATCTTAAGACACTGGTGTATTTGTTTTTCTCGTGAATGGTCCTTTATTCAATTGACCTACTTATATTTTTACAGGGTGACATAGTAGACAACATAGAGCAGAATGTTTCCAAGTCAGTGGACCACATCATGGTTGCTAAAGAGCAGACCAAAAAGGCTCTAAGGTACCAGACCAAAGCACGCAAGGTAATGTTATACGGCAACTGATAGTCACTTTGACCTCCTATTTTTTTTTTTCCTCACTTATTCTGACTGCCAACTCTTTGTGGCCCTACACACACACACGCACACACGCACACACCAAACCACACACACAGCAACTACAATCCGTTCATCTCAACATGCCCCCTCTTATGTTATGTATTTTGTTATGTATTAATTCAAAACTGCTCTGGACATCATGCACCACAAAAGGGGGGAATGATTGACAGGATTGAGAGCAACATGGACCAATCGGTGGGCTTCGTTGAGCGAGCAGTTGCAGACACTAAGAAAGCCGCAAAGTTTCAGCAAGAGGCCCGACGTGTGAGTTACTACCGTGGAAATCGGTGGTTCTGTTTCCCAAAAGCATGCAAATCATTTTATTTTGTCTCCTCAAACTGCAACAATGCAAAGCCTGAGCGTTTCAGCGCTGTTTTTCTGTAGTTGGCCGATAACGATGATAAAATGAAAGCGGCCATATGCTACAGCGCAACAATAAGGCAGGTAGCAAATGTGATCAAGCATTAGTATGGTATCCAGAACACTGTGTTATTTGAGTTGAGACTAATTGAAGACTAATTATCAAGAAGCATTCAGCTCAACTCATCCCAGTGAGATCTCATACAAGAGCTGTATGACAAATTCTGCCTTAACAATGACATTGTTAAATTTTAATTGATTCAGTTTTTTTCCGGCATGTAACTCCATTGCAAGCCGTTTCTAATACTTTTTACTATAACTGTCAAGGGTGAAAAATGTGGGCAGGATGACCAAAAGAAGATAATGACTGACTCCAGTAAACTCGGTCACATGTCCAGGAACACACTGCACTTTTACAACTTGGTAACCACCAAATTTTATTTGCTTTTCTTTTCCCTAGTGGCAATGGGTCATTAATTAGATGTAATCTTTTGTAGCACTACAGTATAAAATACATGCAGTCACTATCAAGTGGATGCCTACTATTCGTGGGGGAGAGGCACCGGGCAGGTCAGCAAATAGCGCAAATCTGTAATCATTGATACCCATTCAAATGAAAAAAAAATGCTGATGAACATCCAAAATGCAAAAAATAAATGAATAAAATAATTCAAAACAAATCGGTGAATATGCGACTCCGAGGCTGCCAAACAAGTATGCGGGTTTCCACTGTGTCTCCGTTTCTTTCAAAAATATCCTGTCAATACAGGCAAGTGCATAGAGAACAAATTCCTCTTGAAGTATGCTTTTGGGAGATCAGTATCCATCCCCGGACCCTCACTGTAATCCTGTCTGTTCCTCTGTGATTCCACCACCCCAACCACAGTAAAATTAAACCAGACTCATCTATACCACATGTATGAACGCGTACAGACAAACATACTCCTTTCTATACTTTTGATTCTCTCTGTGTTTGTCAGTTTGTGTGTTTTAAGAATATGTATTGACCTGCCAAGGTAAGTCAACATTGGTGACAATATTGATTGATTGCTTTAGTCAACATTAGTAATGTTTATTTTAATGTTGATTTTGACAGCACGTGTAATGTAACTGATATTTGATGTCACAAGCAAGCTCTGATGGGAGTTTTGATATGTTCTGTGTAGTTCTGTAAGAAGGAAGAGCAACAAAGTCCAAGTTCATTTTGTGGAACTGACCCACTTCCTTCTATTGACTTCAATTTATGAGTACAGTCACTATCATTGATTCTATGAGTTTATGTGTTGAATCTGTTGCATTTCCTCAAATTGTTGCCGTCTATTTCCTCAATGGCAGAAAAGATCAGGACATATTTTGCTTCCAAAGGATTATAAAATAATGATGGGTAGATAGATATTTGCAAAGATGTAATATTCACACTTATACACTCTCATTAATAAGATAGACACAACCAAAAAGTAAGACAGCATTGAGAATGAATTTGAAAACTGTAATTGCACTTAAGCAAGACGAGGAAAATGGACTAAGGTGTTGGCATGTTGTAAGTAGGCATGAGCAGGTATCCAATGCTGGAGGTTTGATAACCGCGAGCAAAAATATTGCGCTTTCACAGTATTGCGGTATTGCAATTACAAAGTACAACTCTTAAATGTCTTACTTGTCCATGTTTGGCTCAATAACTTAATTTCATAGAACACGCTTCTTATGCAAATTGGTAAGAGTAAAAAGGAACAAATCAATTTAATTGTTCATAATAAAATCAAAATTTAGTACAACAGTAAAAGTACTTAATATGTTGAAAATGGATAAACTCCGTCTTGTTTAGTAATGCCAGCACGGAAACGAACATGTTAGCATGGCAATTATCTGCCTCAGTAGCGAGTCAATATTATTTATTTCAGCAATTGTAGACAGGCTGACTTTCACAGCTGGTTGCAAGCACTCATTTCAAGACTGCATTTTTGTAATATACTGTATTGACGTTAGCCTGATCTTTTTCGACGAATGATGAGTGAATTACAACTTCCCTGTAGAATCTCCGAAAATGAGTCATGTATTTGTTTACTTGTTCAAGTGGATTACACACCCATCAATTTAATTGGGACATGCCATCTGTTATATTGGAGGCCACACTCTGCGGAAATACGGTATGTCTACTGCTGCACTGCGCAATCGCCCAAAAACTTAGATTGTGACTTACACAAATAAGAGTCATGCAGGATGACACGGGATTGGCGGAAAGTTCTCTTGAAGGGTCCCATCTGTACTTCCCAACAGAGATGGGTGCAAGTAGTGCTGATTGTTCTGGTCTTGCTGGCCGTGCTAGCTCTCATAATCGGGTTGTCAGTGGGCCTGACGCGCAGCTGACGAGATGTTTGAGTAAGACGATTGCTAAGGGTGAGTAACTCAGGAGCAAATAACCTCTCACAAAGGGTGGAGGTGTTCAGGCTTCTTTTAAAAAGGGTTTGCATGGCTTTGCTGTCCCACCAAGGCTTTGTGTATAAATGACTTACTGTATGTGTTTGTGGTGTGACGCTTGGGACGGGTGGGTGTTTTCTCTCACTTAGTCTAGCAAACGAACAAAGCGGTGCTAGTGGCAACCGTGTTTCTTCTCCTGTGCAAGTAGAGACTTTGATCTTGCGGTAATTATTGTTCTCCCTCTTTGTAGAAGATGATCATTATCGGTGTCATCTGTGCAGTGGTCGTTATCATCCTCCTCGCCATCATCCTCTCACAGACTCTATAGCAGGACCTTGGTTATCATGATCATCTTCACTCCATTCATCACCCACGTGCAAACCAAAGAACAGACTTTGATAGCACTGTCGCTTGGGTACTTCTAATTCATTATCTAGTTGAACATCTGGAGGAATGACTTGTGACATAGACTGATTTATGAGCTTAATTCCCTGAAGCTAAAGGCAGTTTGTTCTGCTTCAGATGAAGAAGCAAGACTCGCGATGGGCCACAATGTAGCGCCACTCCAGTGTCTTTTTTTTCCCATTTTGTCGTGCAAGTGGTGGAAAATGACTTAATCCGCAACAGGTTAAGGACCTGACTGTCTGCTCGAAGCACATCACCTCCCTCCTTATTTTTACTATTTGCCTTCTATGAGCCGTTGACACATTTCACAATGAACTGGGAATTGCAAGGTTCTTGGGAGTTTTGTCACATTCACGTTGTTGGGTTTTCTTTGTCGCCAACCTCGAGCCTTAAATATGCCTGTTTAGCTGAAAAGTGCACATGTGAAGTCCTTGCTCTTCATTGCAAGTGTATGAGCAAACAAGCATGCCATAATAAAAAAGATTTTTAATGAAAGATTTTAATGCCAAGGGCTAAAAAGCCCTCAGGTAGTACCACGAGTAACAATGATACCCAAAATGTTTGTGAATTTTTTTTTTACTCATTGATGGATGTGTCTTGCTAATAAAGTTGCACCAACACAATAGACATCATTCAAAACTAGCCTGGCTGGTGGCTTTTTCCCCCCACCCAACAGTGCTGTTTTATTCAAATGAGTTCATGAATTCACGCAAATAAAATACCATATCAAATATTCCTACCATCAAAGTGTTTATTTTCTGAGAAATGATTTGTTCCTCCCATACATAATGTTGTGAAAGTAATGTGAGGCAACACACTTGAAATAAATAATTCTCATATTGTTTTGTTTTGTTTTTTTGCGGAGGGCAGCAAAAATAATCAAATGAATTCTGATGGTTTATATTTCCGAGTCTCACAGTTGGGTTTCTCTGCATTGAGCCTGCTCAGTGACTGCAATCAATGAGTAGAACAATTGCAGTGTGTTCAAGAGGCACTCCATTCAAAGATGGACATGTTTCAATGTAGACTTCATGTGTTAAAAAAAAAAAAAAAGGCAAAACGGCGGGAAACAAGCGGACAAAATTATTTGATTGTACTGTTTTATGTTGACAAGTCAATTATTTAAATGCAAATGAAAGACATTTTCTGTGAATGGCTGGCTGAGTCGCATTCCCTTGTAATCTGATGCCATCTGGTTCATTTGTTGATAAATATCAAGCACCTTTCAAAAGTGATAGAAATGTCCACAAAGAGATAAATTCTTTTTTACCTTCTTCTGATAATCCAGTACTCTTTTACACACACACACACACACACACACACACACACACACACACACACACACACACACACACACACACACACACACTTTCCCTTGGTTTTCCTTATCCCCAGTGACTGTGCCCCCATGCATTTGGAGTTCAAAATGCTGGAATAATTATTTTACGTCCCGTGTCTACAGAAAAAAATGATGATAACTCTGTGCTGCGCCATCATTGGAATCGTGGTGTTCTCCTATCTCTACAGCTTCTTCTCATAAAAGGTACCATTCATCAAAACATGAAATGATTAAAGAAAAAGAAAGTCAAGTCTAAATATACAATGTTTTTGTCTTGTGCTTGCTTCAAAGAGGATATCACGAAGTAAAACAAACGTCTCTTTACCCTGATTGTGTTGAGTGAATGTAATTGATGTGTCCCTGTTTGCTTCTGTACTTCCCCCTTGACATTCTTTGATTCTAACCGTTTTATTGCCACAAGAATCGTGTTTTTGGCACGCTGCACCACACCACCCCCTGGTGGTAATGTAAAAAGGGTTCGATGGTATGAAATATTTTCCAAGCGTTGTAAAACTGTTGAGGGAGATTAAGATATCCTCTGTAGGATTTAAAATGGAGATTACACGTGTTCAAATGACTACTCGGGTAGGAGTATTATTTTAAGACTTGATGTCACGATCGTCATGATGTGCGTGTGATTGTGTTGTGCGTGGCGTGCTCTCACAATGCGCGTCATTGTTTTTTTCGCCTCGAATTGTCTCTCAGTCCCTGGCAGCCTGTCAACCCAGAAAAGCGTGTTATGCAATAAACGATGGCTGTACGTTGTAACAGCTGGTGTGCGTGTCGTTTCTCCGCGAACTCTTTCTCACTGGACTCTTTATACATCACGACAATTTCTAAAGATTATTCTCTTGTTTTCCCGACTGCAAAATATGTCGTGCTATATATCAACACTGGAAAATACCATCACTGTCTTTTTATCCCTCATCCTCTGACTTGAAAGAAGAGAACAACCCTGCGCCGTCATGAAAGAGGGGCGGGGTTCAGAGAATGATGCGCTCGATTTTGACCTGGGTAGAGCCGACGTAGAACTTTTCAAGCACTGTGCCACTCATTTTCGTCGCTGTTGTTTCACTCGGAGGGCCTCGATGACTTTGAAAACCATCCAAATGCCTTCATCATATGAGGCAGACACAATATCCCCTGTATTTGATTGTTGTAATGTAATTCCTAACAATTATATCGCCCTGTATTTGCTTTGCCTGATCTGGACCCCAGCCTTGAGTTTTGACACTGATTACATTAGAATCTTTCAATAATTGTTCAATTAATTTAGCCAGTTATTTTTGATTAACTCAAATTATGATCTCATCTCATGAAACAATCGGTTAGTTGAGTGGTTTTCAAAGTGTTGTACCACCAGTGGTATGAGAAAGAATCACTGAAATATACAAAACCGCATGAAGTAATTCAGAAGATTAGGATATGTTTAACCCAGTATAGTACCTTTGTTAAGTACAGTTCCATTGTATCTTACTTTTAGGGTGAATACACTTACATTTATTTATTGAATTTTTTTATTAATATTGTTTTTATATGTAACCTTTATGTGCTGTGAATTTGAATTGAATAAATTAGTGCAGTTTATTTCTCGCTTTTTTTTCTTTTGAATGAACACTGGGGCCTACTCCGCTACTGTATTTTAATGGTGGACATGATGGTGGTACTTGGGGTGCGGGGCATTAAGCATTTTTTGAGGTGGTAATCAGTGTGAAAAGTTTGAGAACCACTGGGTTCGTTGATAAAACAAAATACTTAGCAAAGAATGACCCAGGACACGCTGGAGAGACATGATGAGCTAGAGAAAATAAACGAGGGCAGATAGGGAATCAGATGGAAAAATCATCTACAAAAGTTGACTTGCATCTCTCATTAAAATATTTATTAAAATGTGTTGACCAGTCCAAATAATTACACTTAGAAACGCTAATGTATGGTGCAAACCGATGTAAAAATCAAACGCGGCAATATGTTAACGTATTCTAATCTTGCTACAATAGTACAGGCCACGTCCAATGGGAGGGCTTCTATGCAAATATATCCGAGTTGTGTTGTAAGTAGGGGGTGTCGTAAATGTGTGTCTCTCTCTCTTTCTCTCTCTCTCTCTCTCTCTCTCTATCTCTCTCTCTC